GGTGTTTTTGCAAAATTTTGTAAGTTAATTTTGGGAATTGAATTGGAAAGACTTTCTGAAGAGAACTGGGTGTAATGATGTTTTACTATAGTTTAAGAAATTTATTTAATTTGTAAGAACGCTGCCCAAGTGTAGTGCACATGGAATACCAGGTAGTTCGTGGAAGGAGAGGGGAGTCAGCCTTTGAGGACGAGGTCAGAGGCCCTGTCAGGAGGACCTGCTCAGGAGCTAACCCTCTGGCCTGGTCCGGCCATGCTGCGGTGTGAGGCCTGGGCTGGGTGGAGACGTTGACAGTCCCTCTGCAGGTCCCGGTCAGGGAGAGTCAGAAGACATTTCTCTCGGCACTGTGCATCTCCCTGGGCTGCAGAGCCCCCGTCTTCCCTGCAATTAGGACAACTTTGAATTTCTTGAGAGTTTTTAACGGTCCTTCCAAAGCACTTCCATGTTCATCCAAGGTGTTACACTGTCCTTCCCAAGAGGCTTCCAAGAGTTAGGACAAACCTCTGTTTCCCAGAGTCATAAGAGAACAAGCCCTTTCCAAGAATAACGCGTTTTCTGAAACACTAAAATGACATTCTCCCAGTATTATAAATTGCCTATTTAAAAAAAATTTTTTTTGAATGCCTGCCCGGCAGTATGTACCAGGCAGTGTGCTGGTCAGAAGGAAAAAGAATAAAAGTTTTCGAGTTCTCACAGTCTAGTTAATTTGAGTGCTTTTTTATTAGAAGTCTCTAAGTCTACTGGAAATGTCATTTCTGGATGCTGCTAGAGCAGCGGTTCTCAACCTGTGGGTCGAGACCTTTCACAGGGGTCGCCTAAGACCATCCTGCATATCAGGTATTTACATTACAATTCATAACAGTAGCAACATTACAGTTATGAAGTAGAAACGAAAATAACTTTATGGTTGGGTCACAACATGAGGAACGGTATCTAAAGGGCCAGAAGGTTGAGAACCACTGTGCTAGAGGGACACCTCCCTGTGGATGCCGGCAGTGAGGGGCCGAGGGTGGAGGCTGCCTTCTGGGAGGGGCTTCGCCTTGGGCAGCTGCAAGTTCTTTCGGAGAGATGGTGGGTCGTGGCTTCTTCCCAGAGAACAGGCTTGTGAGGCTCTTGTCTCTTAATTGCTCCAGTCTTAGTGTGAGACAGCTGCTGCGCCTCCGCCCTTCTTCTCCTCCGTCCTGCCTCTCCTGCACCTCTGTCCTCCCTCCTGTGCCTCCGTCCTCCCTCCAGCGCCTCCGTCGTCCCTCCTGCACCTCCGTTCTCCCTCCTGCACCTCCGTTCTCCCTCCTGCGCCTCCGTCCTCCCTCCTGCGCCTCCGTCCTCCCCCCTGCGCCTCCGTCCTCCCTCCTGCGCCTCTGTCCTCCCTCCAGCGCCTCCGTCCTGCCTCTCCTGCGCCTCCGTCCTCCCTCTCCTCTGCCCTCCCTCTCCTGCGCCTCCGTCCCCCTCCTGCGCCTCAATCCTCCCTCTCCTCCGTCCTGCCTCTCCTGCGCCTCCGTCCTCCCTCCTGCGCCTCCGTCCTCCCTCTCCTCCGTCCTCCCTCTCCTCCATCCTCCCTCTCCTGGCTCCTGCTGCTGCCTCTCCCTCAGATCTCAGTTCTCGGTCTCTCACCTGCGTCTGCAGCTCCAGTGCAGCGTGGGCTCCCGAGCACTCTGATGTCTTCCGCACCTGCCGCCTCGCAGCCTGTGCATGTCGGCGCCAGGCTGTGGCGCTGCAGCAGACTCCCTTTGGCTCCCCGGGGCTCTGGGCCGGCTCAGATGAGCAGGCGCAACAAAATAATAGTTCTCTGGTTTCGTGTCTTACCATTTCCCATGGATTTTGCTGTCCACTGTATAAGGTACTGTTTATTTAAGAGAGAATGCTTTTGAATTCTCCCCAGTTGAATGACTTGAGATTTGAAGATGGAGACTCAGAGAGACGGTCCACAGCTGTCCTGTGACAGCTCTTCTGTGTGTAATTTTTTTAGCGAGAGGAAGGGAGAGAGAGAAACATTAATATAAGAGCAAAACTGGTCAGCTGCCTCCTGCACGGGCCCCAACTGAGGATCAAGCCCACAACCTGGCACGAGCCCTGACCGGGAATGGAACCGGTGACCTTTCGGTGCACAGGACAACGCCCAACCAACTAAGCCACACCAGCGAGGGCGTAACATACTTCTTACTGGAACTTTGAGCCACAGAAAATACCAGTGAACTTTAGGTTTTATTTTGTCTTTATTTTTGTGGGTTTTTTCCTCCTACGGAAAGCATAGTCTCTCCAGAAACCTAGGCCAGCCTTAGAAAAAGGCTGTGGCCCTGGGATGGGCACCTCCCAATGATATAGCTCATGTTTTTAGGCAAAAGCTAATTTGGGATCTAGACAACGTCCTATTTTTCTAGGTGTGACCATGCCTGCTTCATTGCTCCTTTTGTGTCACACTGATTTTTTTTCCCATTTCCAAAGAATGTATTAATAAGGCATTGACAATGTCTGTTTCCACAGAACTGGGGGGTCGGGGTGTCTCATCACCTGTTGGACCCATCAGTCAAACCAGCTTTGGACGGGACTGCTCGTGTTGAACCTCGTAGCCGTCAGCTGTCCATCAGTTTGTGGGGTGGGCGGGCTTCCTTGTAAGAGAAATAGCAAATTAGTGGTCACACCTTAGTCTCCCCCGTTATTAAAAGATTTCTAAAACCAAGGACCACGTTGTCTCAGCCACCTCGGTCTCCAGCGCTCTGGGACTTGATGTCAACGGGACTGTCCCATTTGCCTTATTGTCCCGAGAAACGTTCAGACCAGCGTGGTAGGAAGATGGAGAAACGGTGACTCCGCCTCCTCCTCGCAGGTTTACGGCGCCCGAGTGTGGGTTATTGTTTCATCTTTCGCCTGGGACACTTCATTGTGTCCACTGAGAAGGAGGAAAGGAACGGTACCTGGGATGTAGCCAGATTCCCCGCAGAGTGAAGTGCTCGAGTTAGTATGCTTGGGTAGCGAGCAAGAACCACGTGACCCCGAGCTTGCTTTCACTCACACGCATGACAGCAAAGCCTCCCTCAAAGGGCCGTGTTTTCCGCCCGTGTGACCAATGCCCTCTTCACAGGCACTGACCCTCCGTGACCAACACTCAGCTCTCTGCCCAGGACACAGACAACAAGGGAAGCAGACCCAGTGCATAGAGCACCCCCCTCCCCAAAACAGGCCTCCTGGAGGGTGAGGCACCCTGGCCCAACCCTCTGGGTCTATTCTCTCCTTTCCCACTGCCCAAGGTCTCTTTAGACAGCATGGATTTGTCTTCTCAAAACATGGCATTTATCTGGATTTGCCTACAACCAACACTCAATATAAGACTGAAGTATATTGGGAAGGAGAACTATTCATTAAGCAAACACACTCAAATTTTATTGACTAGAAATTAATGTTCCCCCAAAGGAAATGACAGTCTGAGTAGTTTGACCTTCATTAGTGAAATGATTAGATTGGACTAATTTCCAATATTAAATTTCAGCCCATTTAGCAAGAAGAAGAGCACCCACAGTGGTCGGCTGTGGTGCAACAAGGGTAAATAAATGGCGTGCTGTGAAATTTAGTTCTAACCTTTTCAAGCGCAGATTTCCCAGTGAGCTGTGTCCAGAAGGCCCATGGGGAGGGAGACACGTTCGTGAAGTTCCTTCTGTCTGGAAGAAGCGAGGTGGCAAGGGTTGCGTTGGTGTCAGGCCGCCCGCCATCCAAGACTTGGCCGGTGTAGCCTTTGTGCTATGAGGATGTAAGGCAGGGAATCTTCAGAAAATGTAAATATTAGAGAAACGGACTTCTCAGTTGACACCTCATAGCAGCAATGCTAGTAACTGTATCCTAAAAGTCTGTAGCTTCTAAAGGAGCAATGTTTCCACTACCTTCTGTTACCTGCCTTGTGTTTTTTGACTTATTGAAGAAAACCAGTTCCAAGAGAAATTGATATTAAAAACGATGAGTTAGATCCTTGATTTGAAAAGAGCACTCTGCATTCCCAGACATGAATGTGACGGTGACTGAGGACAGAGCACGTGCAGCGAGGGCCACTTAAGGGCGTTTAAGAACAGTAGTTAAGCCCTGGCCAGTCTGGCTCAGTGGATAGCGTGTCGACCTGCAGACTGAAGGTTCCTGGGTTTGATTCTGGTCAAGGGCACGTACCTCGGTTGCAGGCTCCATCCCTGGCCCTGGTCTGGGCATGTGTGGGAGGCAACCAATCTACAGTGGGGCCTTGACTTACGAGTTTAATTCGTTCCGTGACGGAGCTCATAACTCAAATTACTCGTATGTCAAATCAAAAAGTGAACGAGTGAGACACGTGATGCTGAGCTGATGTTGTGGCGTTCACTGTGACGTTCGCTGCGCCAACTAGCGGTGGGGTATCTGAAGCTGGCTTGTAACCCAAATTTTAGCTCGCAACTCAAAGCAAAAAATCAGCTGAGAGACGGCTCGTATCTCGAAAAACTCGTTAGTCGGGACACTCGTAAGTCAAGGCCCCACTGTATGTGTTTCTCTCACATCTATGTTTCTCTCTCTCTGTCTCTCCCCTCCCTTCACTCTGTCTAAAAATCAATGTTAAAAAATATCATGGGGGAGGATTAACAACAACAATAAAAAAGAACAATAGTCAAATACAAAAGTCGTGACCCATAACATATCAAGATATGCTATCAGGCCCTGACCGGTTTGGCTCAGTGGATAGAGCGTTGGCCTGCGGACTGAAAGGTTCCAGGTTCGATTCCGGTCAAGGGCATGTACCTTGGTTGCGGGCACATCCCCAGTAGGGAGTGTGCAGGAGGCAGCTGATCGATGTTTCTCTCTCATCAATGTTTCTAACTCTCTATCCCTCTCCCTTCTTCTCTGTAAAAAATCAATAAAATGTATTTTTTTAAAAAAAGATATGCTATCAGGCAAGCTCATTTGGGGTGAGAAGAACT